TTCTCTTTCAGTTAACTTGAGCTCTTCTAAAATTGACACCTCCTCCTCCTAATTGGCAACCTTCTCTATTGATCTAGATCTACTCCTATGTCCACAACCAATAATTTATTTTTGCTATAACCCTCACCTTTTTCTTCTTAGATTCTTCCACTTACCTTCTAATTAAATCACAATTCGATCTTTTATGTAATTCCAACACAAATTGCTATTATATCCCACAATTTCTACTTTTCTCCTTAGCACAAAACTCTCTAAGCAGCATACATGTCCTTGACCACATTTGCCACTAGTTGACTTCCTTGTCTTTTGCATACCACACCTTGTGTCGCCTCACCTCACTGCCCTCATTAGTTCTGTTGCATTCAAATTTTGATGCTCCATACTTTGTCTGTCTAATACTATTGATATAACTTGCCTGTCTAAACCGGAACCTGCGCAATCCAAACTGGTTTAGCAAAATAAGTTGTCAATCTGTGGGTTATTTATTTATTTATTTTTAAGTTTCCAAGACACTGTTAAGAGAGATTACTAGGGGTCCTTCTAGAAGTTTTTCTTACTCTATTCTAGCTTAGAAATAGTATGTCTAAAAACTTTTACTATTTTTAGTATATTTTTCTAGTTCTAAAGGTTCAAATAACATAATTTCTATTGTTTATGCCTTTCTTCACTGCTTTAATAACATGACTCCACAATCCCTACTTAATCTAATTTTAAACCACAATTGTTTTATCCACCATTATGATTGTATTCAATTCTTAACACCTAAATGTGACTTTTTTTCAATAATTTATCCTACCTATCTACATCTAAACTTTTCTCTTCCTAACTCCATTGATTTATTTTAATATTTATTCTAACTATATTGTGAGTCATAAAATTTGGCTCACATATATATAAGGTTTTTTGATGTTTAGGGGAGACTATTTGAGGTTCTAACTTTCAAAATTTGTAATTGGTTGAAAAAAAAGAGTATCTTCATTGGTTTCATATGTAGAATCAATTAAAGAAATAAATTAGAATATTTTTTTCTTTTTTAATATTAATTTTTATTTATGTGTAATGAATATCTATATATACATATATATAGATATATATATAAAAAAATATTCTTTCTATAATTTGTGCTAAGTTCATGTTAAGAAGTGGTTTTTACAAAAAAAATAAAAATAAAAATAAAAATAAAATAGAAAGTTGTATTTATAATTGCTTAATGTATGCTTCATTTTTTTTAAAAATTATTCTACAATTGATACAATCAAGATATAATTTTATATATTTAAAAATATAGTAAAAAAACCTTACTTGGTTTGTGTCGGGACACCTTTATTTTATACTATCTCCAAAATCAAAGGCTCATGAAAGACAGCCTTTGTTTGTTTTTACTAAGTGAGAATTCTTTGTAAAGTTGTTAAAATATGGTTTTCAAAATTGGGTTTCCAGATACAAAAACCTTGTAAGATAGTTTTTTGCTCTTCTAAAATTAGCCTCAACCAGCTCCACTTTGTGTTCAATATTTTGTATATATTTCTTGCTCTTCCTGAAAGTCTTTTGTTTAGTCCAAATTGGTTCTTATTTTTACGTATATTTTTCAACGTTTAACTGAATTAAAGCTGTGCAGATGTTACACAATAAATAAATATATTGATTTTCTTACTCCCATATTATTTGAAGATATTAGTTTATTTATTTATTTATATTTAATTTTCAATATCAAATTTGTGCTTTTGATCAATAGTAGTCACAATCATGTTTTTGTATAAGAATCATATTTTGTGTGTCAACACTAAAAATTCTAAAACAATATATATATATATATATAATTTAATTTCATCTTTTCTTCTTAGGATTTTTGGATTGATGTTTATAAAACAAAACAAAACAAAACAAAAAAAAAACAAAACAAAACAAAACAAAACAAAAAACAAAAAAACAAAAAAAAACAAAACAAAACAAAAACAAAAACAAAACAAAAAACAAAAACAAAACAAAATAAAACTCACTAATATAACATTTAGAACTTTATAAGAAGTAGTTTTAAAGGACAAATTACTAATCACAAAAACAACAAACAATAGCATATAGTAATATGAGTGAGTCCAAACACAGCCTTTATATTTTTTTACTGCAATATGCAAAATTATTAACAAAGCTATAAAAAAAAATTAAAAAATTAAAAAATCAAAACATAAGAAAAAGAAAGAAAAACAAACAAACTTTAAGAGGGAAGTAACTACAAAGCACTAAAATCATAAGCAATGTTGAACAAAACTTGTCATTGGTCCAACACCAAGCTCTTGGAAAATTTTAAAAATAACAGATACCAATTTGGTACTTAAGAGAAATATTACAGCAAAAGATATTAAAGCTCTTATATAAAAATTAATTTCTAAGTAGTTTTTTTAGCAATAGAAGTAGATGGAAAGAAGAAAACTTGGATTTTAAATATTCCACAAGTGTAAACACATCTTTCTAAAGACAATCAGCAATAAATGAAGTACTTGCAATTTGGGATCAAATACATAAAAGCCTAGGAATTACCAATTATGACATATGTAAGGATTTGGCTTAGTTGGACTAAAGGTTGCATTAATTCAACCATGAGATTTACTTATGTCAAAAAGTAATATTAAAGTATGTTTGGAGAAATAACAAAGAAGTATAACTATTTAAAAGATAAAAGCACAAAGTGGCAAAAAGAATATTATAAATAAAGAAAATATGAAAATTAGTGCAAGACGAAGTTAAAATGTACATATATATGCAAAGCCAATTCTAAGACATATAGTTCCAATGTTTAGTTAATTCAAATTCATTTCTATCCATTGATTTGAAAACTTATTTATATCTAGTACAAAATAAATAAATAAACTTATATTCTACAATAAGATAGATAAATTTTTTTCATTTGTAGCATCACCTCAAATTTAATTTAAGAAAGATTATTATGTATCTTTAAGAAGATTAAACTTAAAAAAAATAAATAAATAAATAAATAAATCAATTTCTATTTTTTTTTTTTTATAAAATTGAAACTTATTTTATACTGTCCAAGAGCTTTAAATGACCTAGTGCTTGTATTCAAGCTATAGAGTTATATTTTTAAAACAAAACAATAGAATATTTTTTTGTCTAAAAACACAAAATATATTACAAGCTAATTCAAAACTTATATATACTTTTTTTTGGTTTAAAGAATACTTCTATATTCTTAAAGTTAAACCAAGATGCGCTAAAAAATACAATAGACTTAAAATAAAAATAATATGTATTCTCATTTTTTTACATATTAAGTAGTTAATAGATAATACAAAGTCACTAATAGAAGTTCAATAGGAATTCATTCTTGGTTGAATTTAAAGCAATGAAGTAATTTTTTTTTTTTTTTTTTTTTATGTATTTTAAAAATATCTCCCAAATTTAAATGATTTAAAATACATTATGAACTATAATAAAAACTATGCATATAGATAATCTTAACTCAAATAAATGCTTTAGTATTCAAATGAAAAATTTGGAACATCTTTAATATAAGGCAAATTGTGTGATTTAATATCCTTTATTATCATTGTGTTTTGTGAAAAAATATTCATAAGAAAATACAAAAAGCATCCAAAATGAGCAAACACAATTCTAAATTAGGAAATAAAAGACATTCATGGTCAACATAAAAATTTAACAGAACAACAAAATTCTTTAGAGTGGCCTTATTATACACCGAATGAGAGAGGTATTATTAGGTTTGATTGTAAGTCATTGTATATCATACATTATACTCTTAACCTTGTTTGGCTTTGTCTTACCTTATTACAGTTAGAGAGCCTAGATAACATTTTGTTCTCCTGCTCCATTATCAACCATAGCAATAGGTATGTACCACTTGTTTTAAAAATACATGACTAATTAAAGAGAATACCAAAAAAAAATGAATAAAAAGAAGTAAAGAGGGAAGGTCTATTTATGAGGGTTTTAGATATTCTGTCAAACAAAGGAATGGGAAATTAGAAAAAGTATCAACCTGCCAGTGTGGCATGGAATGTGAAGCCCCATTTTTCTTGTTACAACCATGTGCTTCTTCCAGTTTAGAAGGCCATAGCCCTTGTAGGTTTTCTGCAGCTGCAAGCCTGGCCGAGTTGCTCCAATGCCTCTGTTGGCGGCTGGGAAGCGGAACAATGCGTCATCGCTACAGAGCTACTGACGATGATGCTCATGAAAACCCTAACCTAGATTCAGCTGCACATCCCGAGATTCCACCCCAATTCCATTCTTGCACTTCACCGTCATTTGTAAGTTTCGAAGTAAGTAAAACAGTGAGCTTTGGTCGTCTTCAGAGATTTTTCCTGATCTGGGGGAGCTCAAGCCGTTGCGATTTAGCCACCTGGGTTGCAACCATCACGGTGAGTATTATATTCTGCCCCCAAAAAGCAACAAGAATCGAGTATTTTAGTTTATATTTCAGGGAAAAAAATCTGACGCGTGGCAGGCCTTTGTGGCAGCGTGAGTTTTGAAGTGGTGACGGGGACTTCGATGAGCGAGCCTCATATCCAAGCAGCGGGTCCAGCCATAGTGGTGTCGATTGCCAGATGTGTAGACGGCAGAGTTTTGGTGTTCCGGGGCAGGGATGAATCTCCCTGTTTTTGCATAGGTCGGAGTGTTCACTATTGGCTAGATCTAGTGATTCATTGAGGGAAACAAGTTGATTGAAAGATATGTTCATTCATGATGCCGATGCTTGACTCACACCATCGTAACAGTCTTTTTTCATTGCGGGGTTACTGGAGAGAACTATCTTCAGCCGATTTAGAGTAACTTCATTTCGCTTTGGAGTGTCCATTCCTATCCAATTTCACCTCAAAGCATCTTTTTTTCACCCTACCCTGTCATTTCGCCACCTCACTCCTTCCTAGTGACCGTTGTGAAGAGACTGGTGTCTCATTCTTGGTTTGCCTGTGACTATGATCCCGTGGGTACCCAAAGCCGTGGATGCCAGGTTCGATATATTGTCGAATCTGAATGAGCACGGTGTGGTTCAGCGTGTTGAAGAAGTGCGGTTGCTACACGAGAGCTTGTGTTGGAGTTTTGAGAGAGGCTGTGCTTGGTTCTAGAGATCGTGCTGATTTTTTGAGAGGGTTGAAGGAAACCTTTGCTGCGATAGGATTGTGTAGGTGTCATCATGATGCGATTGGTGAGTTTCGGGAAGAGCAAGAAGCTGCAGACAAGCAGGTCGATGGATCCCACCTATGTGACTGAGCAATCGCCGAAAGCGGTGGAGAAGACGACGGGGAAATCGAACCACGAAATGCAACTGGAAAGATCGAACTCCAAGGGGCGGAACTTCATTACTCGACTGACAAGTATGGGGAGCTTGAAAGTTAAGAGGACAAAATCTGGCATTGTCTCTCAAGCTTTGAATGCACCGTGCACCATCCACTGCTCTGAAGCGGAGTTGGAAGCCGCTTTCAAAGTGTTCGACGCGAATGGTGATGGACGCATCTGCATCACGGAGCTCGGTAAGGTGCTTGGATCCCTCAGTGGTTGCGAGGTCACAGAACAGGAACTCCAGCTCATTATGAACGATGTGGATAAGAACCAGGACGGCTTCATCAGCTTAGAACAATTCAAGGCGGCGAACAAAACTCTCACCAGCCACCTCGCCGACAATGAAACTCCCAAGGAAGATTCCATCAGAGAGGCGTTTGCCACGTTTGACAAGGATGGGAATAATCTGATTTCCGCGGATGAGCTTCGCGCTGTGATGCAGAGCCTGGGGGACAAAGGATATTCACTAGAGGATTGCCGCAGAATGATCAGTAACGTCGACCAAGACGGCGATGGATTCGTGGACTTCAAAGAGTTTCAGTCTTTACTTACTGCCAAAAGCTGAACTACTTTGGACCCGAGCGGTTCTCTAGCGTTCCACGTGGTCCCCGACTCGCATCCAACCCCACTCGTCTGCACGTAGAAATCACTAAGCCATCGCCACAGCCATCCGAACTTCCACATGCGATTTGCTAGCTTTAACTAGATTTTCAGTTGCATCTTCAAACCACGACCGGGTGTTTTTTCATTTGGCGACTTGATTTGTATGCTTCCCCATCGACATAGATCCCAAGATTACGTAGCAGAACCGACTTTTTGATCTTGTCTCTCCCCATGAGCCACATCCTTATTGTGCAGTCAATGAATTGACCACTGACAATGGAATTGAGCTGCTCCGAAGATAACGTAGACGTTGGAACAATCGTCGTGGCTCCGTTTTGTGCACAATTCCATGCAGTTCAAATCAACTGAGGATGATTTTCGGTCCACTGCTCACGGATTGTGCACTCTTCGTATCTTGCGGTTACCGAAGTGCTCGCAGCTCGGTCATCGATTTGAAGTGCTCGCACTGATTCATGAGGTGTTTAATTCTTTTTGTCGCCGTTGTGGTTCGGTAGTTTTGTTAATTTTTTTGTAAAAAATCTTTTTATAGTTTATGAATCTCCACAACCTCTTTGTGTGCATCGATTAAATCTTCTTTTCCACGTATCTATTTCCGAACGCACTCGAAGAAGCCTGTGCCTTCAAGAAATGATAGTTCTTATGAACTTCTGCTAATCGCCTGGTTATTAGAGACCTCGTTTTGGAGATGCCTCAATTGCCGTAGATATTCCATTTGAATTTCAGTTATAATCTTCCAGTTTTGACAACTTCTATATACAAAAGTTACAGTTTTCATTGGACATGTATATATATATAGATATATATATATATATATAAATCATTTTATTCTGAGACTAGAGCCAATGCATGCTATTGGGAATTTTCATGTCTTGGATGTAATGTGCAGTTTTATCAAGTGCCCCTGGTTTTTAAGCGATTGACGTCTATTTTCTGAGACTTACGATGCCAGTCTTAATTTGATTATATTGAAGTACTTCATTTAATTTTAATCAATGTCATTTTTCGTTTTATAAATTTCTTTTACAGGCTGATTACACTTTTGTGTATATCCATGTGTTGATTTGTAAACATAGCTTGAATTAACAAAAATATTAATAATTTTAAAATATATAATAGATTTGTAATGTTGGTGAGAAATAAGTTCTTCAAAAACATTATGTCTTCAATAAAAAAAAAAAAAAAAAAAAACTTATACACAAAATGCAAGATAGAAAATATTCTCACCTTAATTGTTCTATTCTTTAAAAAATAACACTTAAAGTTTTGTCTTAAACTTAATGGTCATGAATTTTAAAATGATTTTATTTATTTATTTATTTATTTTTATTATTCTCTTTTGAATGAATATGAATGCTTTAAATTCAGTCTAATAACTTTGATTAATTGGTACATATTATTGAAGTATATTATATGCAAATTATATCAACATTCATGGTTTTGTCTTATATTATTGAAGTATATTATATGCAAATTATATCAACATTCATGGTTTTGTCTTATATTATTGCTTCATTTAAACAACTCCTATACAACTTAGTATCTACACAACTTAGTATCGTCAATAGATAAATTTTTTTATGATCTAAGGATGTGTGGATATATAAACATCCTTATTTAATTCCAAATCCACATTTTTTTTCTCATCTCAAATTAAAACTCTCTACTTCAAAAAAGAGCAAAATTCTTCAACATTGTGTAGTCAAATCCAACTCATTATATGCCAAATTGTAGAAAATTTCTACAAATTGAAATTAGAGTTAAGTTAGTTTGATATTTAAAAACAATTTTTAATTAGAGATTGATTATGTCCATTGAAATAACTCACGTGGATGTGTCTATGTATGTATATCTGTGTGTGTGTGTGAGAGAGTATTGGAACTTCTACATACTAGGATAAGGATAATATAAGTTTAGTTTTAGAGAGTAATAATAATAATAATAATAATAATTATTATTATTATTTTATTTTTTATTTATTTTTTGTTCTTATTTTATACTATCAAAGAGGATACAATTTGAAAGATTGTAGTGCCTTGATAGAATGCAATTCTTTGATATTTCATTATGATTAGTTGTAATTGTTTTTTTTTTAATATGTCCTTATAATTGGAATGTGATTTTTGATATGCATTGGATTTTCTTCTTAGAATGCAAAACAGATGGAGATGAATATCGACTTCTAGACCTATTAGGGTTTTTGTAAAAATGTCAACTTGTATTTTTGTGGTAGGACAATAGTTGAACCTAATTTTCTGTTGTGTGGTTAGTTATCAAATGAAGTGTTATTTGATTGCTATGTGCTTTGTTCTTGAATGGAACTTAATTGTATAAACTAATGCAAGGACTAACTAGTTATTGTAGTGAATAAGGATGGCTTTGTGGAAGCTGATAGCATGATGGAAATCATAAAAGAGATGTCATAGCCAAATTGTTTTGGAGGCAACTATGGCCATGGATATGTAATCTACCTCTGCATTGGACAAGGTGGTGGATCTTTAGTGCATTGAGTACCAACTTATAGCTCCTTGAGATAAGATGAAGATATTACTTAAGGTAGATCAGAGCTTGTCAACCTTACTAGCTTAATTTGCATTCGTGAATCCATATGAGAGTTGTAGTAGTTGCTTACTTTGTTAATATTCTAATGAGTATTGTAAGGCACTAAAAATATAATAAAAATTATATTTAGAAGCATGGATATGCTTAGTCAAAGATTATGCATATATTGGATCAATATGCTTACTATAAAAGTGATATCTGGGCATATGCAGATACTAGCTCAGTTGAGCAAATCAATCATATTAGCATATGGAAAGTCTTTGGATATAAGAATTATTGCTACAATGGATTCACAATAAAAGCCAAGAGCTTATTGCTAAAGGCAAGTGAACTAGGCAAGAATAAAAAAAATTATATTTGATTAATTTTAAAAAAATATATAAAAACTCTGAGAGACTTAGAGCTAGTCTTGATACACATCTTGTATCACTTAGAGGCTCAAGATATAGTGAATGTTACTGAGATTCAAGCACAAAAAGTGCAAGTGGAGTTATTTTTTAACATCCTAAAGAAGTAAAAGGCTATTACTTGCAAACATCATGTCCTCTTTGTATATAGTGAGAATGACGATGGTAGAGCTACGGCTGAGTGGATAGACATTCCAATCCACGATTGAGTTTAAGAAGACAAGAGTAACAAGGTAGGAGTTGATAACCTAAAATTATTCTTAAAGGAATTACTTTAAGCTATATAAAGTTTTATGAAGGCAACATATGTGTCAAGGATTTGGAGGTGTGATGCAGTTTAGTACATCTATATAAATTTCTTTATATAAGATTTTATTTAAAAAAATAATTTTTATGTCTATCTAGTGGACATGTAAATTTTGTTTTACTATTAGGACAAGGATCAAGAAAATGGATTGGATGAGGACAACCAAAGAAAATGTCTTGTTATAATTAAGATCTAAGATTTGGTTGATTTTTTAAGCTATAAGGCAAGCCTTATACTAATTAATGTGGTTGTTTCTTTTTATTTTGATTTCAAATACCTATTTGCAAGTAATTGAGTATTGATTTTTTGACAGGTTGGTAAAGATCCAAGTTTCATTGGCCACATGAGAGTTGATTTCATCAAAAATTGTAACCTTCTATTAATAAATTTTAGGCAATAAGATTGTATGATTATATGTCAATGGCTCAAGCAAAATTGATGCAAGTATATAGAAAGCTTGTTTCTTTGCACAAAAAAGTTGAGGTGTTTTGCAAGGAAGTAGAATTTCAAGATCATAATTTTCTATAAGATTGTAGAAAGAAGATATTTTCTTTGTAGAAAGAAGATATTTATGTCTTTGAATTTATACCCCCTGCTTATAGAATTGAAGCTCAAAAAGTTATATTTAATAATTTTTCATGTAAAATTTGGTTTTAATAACATATAATATCTTTGTATAATATTTTCTCTCAAACATGCAAAGATATTATAGATTTGATTTTTTTTTATACCAAAGTTCAAAAAGAGTAATGTTGCTTGAAATAGCTTTGATGAAAGTATAGTTTTGAAAGTATGTAACAAATACAATTATCCCTCCCTAATACAATTTGTTCAATTTTGCTTTATAATATATACAATATGTAGCATTTAATAAATTTTATTTTTTTGTTCTATCATATCATTTTATTAAAAGGTGTAGATAATAGTTAATTGATATTAGATGCCATGTATTGTTAGATATTAATCAAAACTATAAGAGAAGTGCTCTCTTCTTTGATTGGAATAGAGAGTATAAATTTCATCACCAATTTGTTTTTTTGCCTTTACATGAAAAATCTTGAAAAACTCAAAACATTAATTTTTGCTTCAAAAGAAAAAAAATATGATATATCTTCAAAAATTGTTAATAAACATAATATAATAATCATATCCAAAAAAATTAAATATAAAATTTTTGCTATTTAGGACAAAATTTATAATTTCAAAAAGATGAACTATTTTAAATATAATTTTTAAAAAAATTATAATACTTTGTTTTCCATGAATATATGTAGAGCTTATATAAGAAGGAATATTATTGAGAGTTATTCATTTTATTATATTATTTTTGATAAGTTGCTTCAATCTCAAATTGTTGATGTGGCTTAGGCGTCAATACTAGAAGTGGGCTTTTTTATATTTAGTTGGCTAAGATTAAGACCTAGAAGTGATTTTAGTATGGAATATAGTAATCAAGTTTAATAACATGCGGATATAGTAGTATCATAATCATATGTATTTATTCCAATAATTACCTATATGATTAAGAAGAAGTAGATAAAATAGATTAATTTCATAATATCTTCTAAAAAAGCTTTCTAAAAGCTTCATAGATGCAATTTTGACTTTATATGTATTTGTAGTTAATTGATAGGTTAGAAACTTGGTCAATAAATTAACCACATGTCATACATGTTGGTAGTTCATGGAATAAGCTAATTATGTGACACACATATAAAGAACTTATCTTGCAAGTTAAGATATATGCCTTATAAAGTCAATACATGTTAGAGGTATTATAAAATATTGTTACATAGCTCTTAATTAGATAGTACATAGAGAGGGAAGAATGAAGCCTTCTTCACTCTTTTCAATGTCTTTCTAGTCCTTGGTCTTGTTTGAAAACTTTTTTGATTTTTTGTCTTTGGTAACAATTATTCTAATTTAATATTATATTATCTTTGAATGATTTAGTCTTTTCAAGTAATACAAAAGTATCTTAGTCTTTCAACTCTTGAAGATTCATATCCCTGATAGTTTGATAAGAATGTTAAGTTATTGTTAAGGATAAGAATTTGATAAAAGCAAATAAATAAGGAAACTTTTTTGTCAAGGACAAGAATTCGATAGAAGCAATAAAATAATAATTTTTTTTTTAAAGAAATATGATAAAATAGAAATAAGAAAGTATGTATATTAAAAAGAAATTAGAATGGCTTTTGCTAAAAGAAAAAAAAACTAAAAACTTCTTGAAACTAAATTAGAAGCAAGAATAGAGTTGATAAAAGTAAAAAAGGCTTCATTCTTGCCTTTATATATACTATCTACCTAAGAGCTATGTAATAATATTTTATACAACTTCTAAAATGTTTTGAATTTATATGATACAAATCTTAATTTACAACGTAAGTTTTTATTATAAATGCTATATAGTTAGCTTATTTTGCAAGCTACTAATATAGATGGCATGTGATTAATTTTTTGACCAAGTTTTTAATCTATCAATGAATTACAAATACATATAAAGTCACATCAATATTTATGAAGTTTTTAGGAAGCTTTTCTAAAAGATATTATGAAATTA